TGCAACCTCCGCCTCCCAGGTTCAAGCAATTCTCCTGCCTCAGCCTCCCGAGTAGCTGGGACTACAGGCATGCACCACCACACCCAGCTAATTTTGTGTCTTTAATAAAGACGGGGTTTCACCATGTTGGCCAGGCTGGTCTTGAACTCCTTACCTCAGGTGATCCACCCGCCTCAGCCTCCCAAAGTGCTGGGATTTACAGGCGTGAGCCACCGTGCCCAGCCTCCTTTGCCCATTTTTCAATTGTGTTATTTGTTCTTTTGCTATTGAGTTGTAGGGGTTCCTTATATATTATATACAATGTGTATATTATATAGAGAGAGAGACAGGGCCTTGCTGTGTCACCTAGGCTAGAGTTCAAAGGTGCAAAAACGGCTCACTGCAGCCTAGAACTCCTGGGCTCAAGCAATCCTCATCCTCCCGTGTAGCTGGGACTGTAGGCATGCCCACCACCTCTGCTAATTAATTTTCTCTTATAGAGATGGAGTCTCACTTTGTTGCCCAGGCTGGTCTCAAATTCCTGCCCTCAAGTGATCCTCCTGCCTCGTCCTTCCAAAGCGCTGGGATGACAGACATGAGCCACCACACCTGGCCCCTTATGTATTTTTGATATTAACCCCTTATAAGATACCTGGTTTGCAAATGTTTTCCCCCATTCCATAAGTTACCTTTTGATTTTGTTCATTGTTTCCTCTGACGTGGAGAAGCTCTTTAGTGTGATGTCATCCCGCTTGTTCATTTTGGTTTATGTTGCCTGCGCTTTTGGTGTCATATCCAAAAAATTATCATCAAGACCAGCATCAAGAAGCTTTTCCCCTATTTTCCTCCAGCAGTTTGACAGTCTGAGGTCTTATGTTTAAGTCTTTAATCCATTTTGAGTAGATTTTTGTGTAGAGTGTAAGATGTGGATTTTCCGGGGTTGCCAACCCCTTAAAGTTCCTCCTAACGAGTTCTTTCTTTCTGTTTGGTACAGGCTATTTTCAAAATGATCACTCCCGAGGACGTGAAGCTCCTTCCAGAGGATGAGAACACGCCGGAAAAGCGAGCTGAGAAGATCTGGAAGTACTTCGGAAAGAGTGATGATGGTGAATTCCTTTTCCTTCATTGCCTTTGATTTTTCAACCATGGGCTATTCGCTGGGAACCCCAGCAAGATTTATTCTTCTGAGTCACAGTGTCCAGGCAGGACGGGGACACCTCATTCCATGTATATTTTTAGAACTGTCTGAAGGGTTCAACAGGGGAATGGCCTTAAGGGTGAGCGGGAGCCAAAACTGTTTTCTGTACAATTAGAACAAGAGCAAACTTCAGCTCACCTTACCTTTGAATTAATTTCAAGTCCCAAGTCAGTGGGATCTAAATTGCTATGGTTTTACTTTGGGAAGTTGGTTTGGGTCCTCTGAGAAACACCACCAAGATAGGATTAGATTTAAATGAGATTGCAAGAGATTTGTAGGAGGAAAGGCTGATGAAGGAAAACAGGCAGGGATCGAGAGAAGGCTGGGAAAGCCATCAGACTGCCAAGAAGATCTGACCCCTGGCAGGGATAGATGGGAAGGAAGGAAGGTTAGGTAAGTAATGCCCGAGACAGTGCATTCTGAGGAAGTGTTGACAGAGTCGATGGGGTGTCCTCAGTGCCCCTGTCAGTCTTGGTGCTCCTGCCCTGTCAGTCAGTGGCAGGAAGCAGTCCTCAGGAAGCATGATCCTGCATTGTAGGCAGTGATGGACTCCAGCCCTCGGCTGCTGGGGCTGTGTGTCTGTGATGCTCATGGCCAACACAAGAAGGATGCGGTAAAGGAGCTGATATTAGGCTGGGGCTGCAAACACATGTGGCTGGAGGGGCAGGAATGATGAAAACAAGTCATGTGGACAGTAATCTATAAGCAGTGCGGATTGGCAAACAGCACAGGGTGCACCTCGGGTCTGATGGCTTCCAGCATATTCCATGTGGGAATATGGAACCCATGGTTGAGACATCATCTGATTTTTTTTTTTTTAAGAGAAGCCAGCCACGGAGATTTTAAAAATGCAGTGTGTCTCAATTGATAAAACACAGCGTGGCCCAAACACATCCAAGGGTCCTGTGTTAACCCCTTTGGTGACCTCTGGAGGCAGTCTTCTACCAGGGTCAAGAAGAAAAACCTGAGCAGGATGCTAAATAAGGGCAGAGATAAATGATCCTGCCCCTCTTAATCTGCCAACAAATGATGAAATAAGAGAAGCACGAAGGTCATTGGGGTACGAGGGACGTAGGACACAGAATTTAAGGAGGTGCTCGTTCTCAGGGTCAACAGTGCACTCACAGGACCTGAAAGTGAGTGCCTCCTTAAATTCAGGCCTTGGTACTTTACCCACCTCTCCTTTGAGCACTTTCTCCTCCTTGCACAGACATTGGCTGCCAAGATGCCTTCTTTCGGCACTTCGCCCACTGGCTCCTTGATTGGCTTCCTGACCTCCCTCTGGGTCTGTTCATGTGTCGAGCCCTGTGTTCTGCTCCTGGGGTGTTCACTGGAAACCGCCCCAGTGAACACCCCAGGAGGGCATGATGTCAGAGGCTGACGTGTTACTCCTGTTCATGACATGCTCTACGTGTTTCCACATGGCCCATCGGGAGACAGTGCCTCACGGCAGAGTCAGGCTTTGATAGTGGGAGTTTCAAGCCCTCTGTGGGGTGGCTGGGATGTGAAAACCCAAGACTTGTACAGGAAGCCATCCTGGATCCTAACCCAGAAGGGATTAAGGGTATCCAAAAACACCCAGAGCATAAGTCAGAAATCACATCCAGTTCAGCAAAGCTTTGTTGAGCAAGGACACTGTGCTAGGCACTATGAACATACAACAGAAAGGAGCATCTGTCTCACGCAAGAGGTATTTATTTCTGTGTGTGACTGCCTTCCCCGCCAGATCAACAGTTTCCCAGGGAGGGACTTCATCTCACGCTCTTCTATTGTACACCCCACCTCCGCTCCCTGCAGGGGCCTTGGCTCCAAGCACAGTAGCATCTAGGCTCAGGACCATGCATTTAACTGGACTGATCTGAATACAGTAAACCACCTGATAAAAACACCAGAAAATCGGGTGTGGCTGCAACAAGGCTATCTCAGTCCTGATCCCAAATAAGGAGGCAGATGAGACTGGGGGATGCAGGGATGGATGCATAGGAAGGGGTCATGGCAGAGTTGTCAGTCAGGAATCACAGGGCTGCCTGTGTGCTACAGGTGCCAAAGAGACCTCTCTGCAAGCCACACTCCCCCTGGCATGATGTCATTGGGTCCCTCACCTCTCACTCCTATGTCTGTGGGGACGTTGTTCCCTGCTTCTCAGCTGAGACTCTGGGCCTGACACCCAGATTGTTTTGCTATGCTCAGACCCCCAGAAGCTCCTCCTGAACTTGATCTTAGAAACTTGAGCTAATACAGAAAATAGAATAACAATTAATAGTTATTCATGATTGAAGTATTTAATAGCCAGCAAGGCAGGGGCACCGGCCGATCGGAAGAAGCACATAGCACAAGATTGGCATCTCGGGGCCGCTCTCCAGTGCCAGTCATTCACCTCCTTTTGCTGGTCCCCAGGGAGCTCCAAGGGTCATGGGAAACGAGGTGGGTATCTGGATTAGGGTGGGAGAATATTGAATCCTCAGGGCCACTGAATATTCAATATTTTCATAATAGATACATTCACAATGCGGATACTGGCTGGATGTCAGCCTCATCGCAGCTTGCTTGGCTATCAATCCTGGCTGTTTTATGTATGTATATATTTTTTCCCAATGCACAGATAAACTTACGGAGAAAGAATTCATCGAGGGGACCCTGGCCAATAAGGAAATTCTGCGACTGATCCAGTTTGAGCCTCAAAAAGTGAAGGAAAAGATAAAGAATGCCTGATGCCAACTGTTCAGTTGTCCTCCCTCCACCCACCACTCACACGACACCCGTGAGCACGTGTGCACGCACACACATGCACACACCCACCCCAGGGCCAAGAGAAAGGCCTGCACACAAGCCCACAGCACAGCTCCCTGCCAAACTGAAGCATCTGTAGTGACCCACTGGTTCCTTCTTCCTGGATCTTCAGCGTCCCTCCCATCATCCCCGGTCCCACCCCTCCCTCTGCCCACCAGCCCATGGGCCTGTGCTAATCCCAGGATTAGGCCATAGGAGTCCTAAGTGTCACCCCGCTGTAAGCTCCTTTGTGGAGTGCTGGGTAAGCAGTTTCCAATAAATGTAAGCTGAGCTGGGCACATGGCTGCTGGTCATCCTTCACCTGGAAATGATTTCTGTCGGCCATACCTCGAAGACAAGGTTGTGTTGCGATGGCAGCCCTAGGCTGGGCTGCTCTGGTGCCGAATGAGCCTGACACAGTCCTGCTCTCGTCGAGCTCA